GTACTATCCAGATAGGAACTGCAGTATTGCTGGATCTATCAGACAGCTATATTAAAATATTAAGAATGGAGTACAAGCACTGTTTGGGCCTTGAAAAGACTGACCAATTCTGAAGTAACAGCCAGACAAATTAAATAAATCTAGATTTAAGATTTGCTAAGACATACAAAAAATTCTTAATTATACAGACAAGCTTAATACAATGTAAGACACGAGTGTCCCTACAATTTAATTTGAGTCTTATTTGTGCCATAACCAAAGACCGAATTCCAAACACAGAAGAGTTTTTTTGAATTTCCTTCCTTCCACATGCCCCTCCATAAAACATCAGAATAAGACAGGGATATAGGAAGAAACAGCAGAGGGAGATAAAAAACAGAGCGGTATAAAATATAGCATAGCCACTGAATCCAAGAAAAATATTTTCAATACATGTGATAAATTAAAAAAAAAATTTAAAATATTGCACCAGTTGGGACAAAGGGGCTGTACCATCTTACACCAGACACACTGGCCTGGAAACCTGAAAAATACCTTAGGAGGAAACCCATGGTGGTAAACATTATGCAAATCACTACTGTCCTTTCAACAAAAATCACAGCAGAAGAAAAAAATTTTAAAGCATTTTGAGGTTTTTTTACCTTTGTATACAATGTGTTCCTTCTTCCTTATCACTTTATTTAAAAAGATTTTTTTGTTAAAGCAATTAGCTTTTATAACATCAGTGAGTCACTATGCAGGAGATGAGTCACGATTCAGGAAATTGATGGAATCTCTCTTCTAATCATACATCAATATTTAACATTTATAAATATCAATTTCAGATGCAGAATCTGAACTTTAAAGTGACAAAGATCAGCAGAGTTTGCCTTAGACACAAGTAGTGTGTAAGCCAAAAGAAAGACTAGGAATCACCCTAAGGGAGAAAAAAGCCTGTTTAAGCTGAGATGAAGAGTTTTAATGCAAGGATGTTGTGGGCAAACAGTTCCAGATTTTGCCCAGTCACTTCTTTGAATGAGCTAACTAGTCCTTCAAGGTGGTGGTCTCCAAAGTGGGGTGCGTAAGACAATCCTCTGGAGTACAGGGAGAAAATACTTTCTGTACTGTTAATAAATGAAAAGAAAAAAACCTGTTTATTTCATCTTTATCTCATCCTTTTTAATTGCTATTTTTGTGTATGTTTTATAATGTACATAACATTAGTACAGTAGTACATGTATATAATTTATAAATAAATAAATATACCTATATTAGAGGTGTGAGCTCAGAATTGTTTTACTGATGGGGTGCGCAATCAAATATTTCTCTGCTCCAAAAGACGTTCAACACTTCTTTGCAGCATCTTAGAGGAGGAAGAAATGGCTGCCTCTGAGTTTTGAATACTCCAGGATACAGTTCCTTGACGATTTGGGATCCCTCTCCCAACACATTTTTCATGTTATGGAATTCAAACTGTTTTCTGCAGTTAGACATGCCATGATCACAGGCTTCTCTTTGCTGTCCTCCTGTGAGCTGCTATTTTTAAGCACTTTAAGGCCTTAAGAACTGCCCCACCCTCACTATAAAAATATGCTATTTCTGTAGAAGAGTGAAGCCAAAAGCACTGTTCTCTAATGTTCAACTACAACAATTCCCAGGCAAAAAACACATCCCAGTGACAGCAAACACTTCTGAAGAAAGCAAATGAAAGCCAGAATATGCCTCATCATTATTACAATTGACACATATCGCTAGGCAATAATCACTTCATCTGGAGATGCTGAATGTGGTAAAAGAGCAAGCTGTTCTTAGAATAGAACAGAAGAGTTCCAGTTGGAGGGGACTTAAAACAATCATCTAGTCCAACTGCCTGATCACTTCAGGGCTGATCAAAAGTTAAAGCATATCATTAAGGGCATTGTCCAAGTGCCTCTTAAACACTGACAGGCTTGGGGCATCGACCACCTCTCTAGGAAGCCTGTTCCAGCGTTTGACCACCCTCTCGGTAAAGAAATGTCTCCTAATATCTAGTCTGAACCTTCTTCTTGATCAGCTGTGCATTAGTTTAAACATGTCTGACTGATGATCAGGTGGTCTATTGCAGTTTCACTTTTCTAACTTGATTTGGCATCAGACACCTGCCACAAAAGTGAGATGTCCAATCCCCAGATGGGTGAGCATATTACTAAGAAATCCAATTAAGTTGAGAGACACAAAAAAATGTTACTCTTTTGTGAATAACTAATCTGATAAATTTTCAGCTTCACTATTTTCCAGATATTGGTATTCATGAGATCCATGAAATGGCTTTTAACTAAATCGAAAACTGTGTTGTTCATTGTAGTTTGGATACTCAAGCGTGTGAGACAAAGTTAAGAATACTGAAAATTGTAGAACATTAAGTTTTGCATAGCAGCTGTAAAACAAAAATTACTTCCAAGTTTCTCTAGTCTTCTATCTCCGTATTTATTTCATGCTTTACAGCAAACTGCCGTATTAAATGTGAATATGGAAAAGTTTCTCTGTAGGTAATCTAATTTATAACCTGAAGGCCTTTTGATCACTACTGTTACCTGGTTTCCAAGTCAGCAACACTAACAACCTACACCACCAAGAAAGTCAGATCTCTATTCCCCGTCCCCACTTTCTTTTTTCTCGGGAGACAGATCTAGACATAGACTCAGATTCTGCCCAAATCCATTGAGAATATACGTAAAATATTTTGACTTGCATGCCTGTGAAATAACATTTTGGAAACATCAACAAATACTTACTCAACAGAAATTTGAAGCAGTGGAACTTGCTACATTAACAACAACAGCCGGTGGAATAGAAAAGCATCATTAAAAAGAAAATATAGAATGTTTATTTATAATAGTGTCCATTACACAGCAAATGATCCTAAATCAGATCTCAAAGTGTTTTACAAGCAGTAATGTAATATGCCTCGGGCAGAATTACAATCCCAAACTTGCTCTTAGCTGCTGGTAAAGAATTCAAAAAGATTACAGCATACATTCACTACTTCAAAATGCTACTAATGGTAGGAGAGCATAACACTAAGATGTGGAATTACATGAACACCATTCTAAAATGGCTGGACCATAAAAAACAATTGGCCAAAACTCATGCCTCATTACAGACACATTAGTGATACAACATATTCTGATGCCAGGTCACCCTTGGTCAAAATAAAAAAAAAATAAAAAAAAAAGAAGGAAAAAACAAGTATGAAAGAATGATTACAAGATGTTAATTATGACTGGTGTTCACCACCAGAAACCTGCTAGGAATATTTCTTCCATTCCCTCTCCCCAGTAAGGAACTATGAGTTCCTAACACACTTTAGGAAGAGTTCATGTGAGAGGCATGCTACACTCACAGCGATAACAATGCAAAATTATACCTCTCTCTCTCCAAATATCTAGTGTAGTCCAAGCTCCTGACTGCAGTGTCTCATAAACAGCTATACAAGAACACACTGTCAAGATACAACAGAAATTGCTCCACAATTTGAGCCTTTACCTAAGAAAGTCAGCAAACAAAATCAAACCCCAAAGACTGAGATCTTTAGAACAGTCTGACTGCATGTAGCTCAGCTAAAAATTAACAGCAGGTCTGAACGTTCAATATTTTGAAGTATCAGAGTGGGCTTAAATGAGCTCACACCTCCCTCCCAGCCCCCCTGCCCAAAATAATGAGGGAAGCCAAAGAAGTATAACATGAATCATTAGCTATATCAGTAAGTTCAGAAAAGAACTCAAGAACAGGCATCTCTCAGAAGCTTACAGGCAATCAGAAAAAGAAAAAAAAAAAAGACTCAGAAAAACATCTTGTTTCTTCCTCAACTCTGAAATTGGCATAAATAAAATGCAAATGCTGTATTCCTGAGGATATTCCATAAAATATTCCATTCCATAAAATCCATTTCAAGCACTGGCAATAAAATGATCTACCACAAGACAGAGAGGGGAAGGGGGTAAAAAAAAAAAAAAAAAAAAAAAGACGCTTTGTTTACAAGCTAGAAGTACTTTTTACTGCATAGAAAAGACCCTTCTGGGTGGTGTCTCTGTGAGACATTAGGCAGAGGGAACCAAAGTACCCCAAAGCCATCTTTATATTCTCTTCATCCTGGATCGTTTCAAAGGCCACAGATGACTTCCATTTTACTTCAGGGTTCAGACACATACAGATTACTCCAGACATAAAGTAAAATAATTTATCTTGTATTTGTAGTGAAGAGAATGGAACATACAATTACTTCAGATGCATACTATAGCAGTCTCGTGGCAATTTATCACCACACAGTGAGTCTTCCATCTATCTGGGTCTTTAAGCATTACCAGGGAGTGTCTCTGCAAAAGGACAATACCTCTCTACCCAACAGACAGGGCTGGGAGGATAAACTACCTAAGGATCATAATATTTATCATATTAGGAGTCACATACGCTATTAAAAAAATAAGCCTTTTCCTGTTGTTTTAGCATTTGCCTTGCATTGAAGAAAGGGTGAATAGCAAACTATTTCATCAGTTTGAATATTTTCAGAACTACCAGATGAAATTCTACTGTGTCTGAGCCCCACACAAATAAAATAGAATCTATGCAAAAAAAAAATATTTCTTTATCCTCTCTTGCCTAACGTTTTAAAAGCAGTGTTCAAAAGGAAGCTGCTTCCAATATTTTTTTTTAAGGGTAGCCTTAAAGCTGGCAGTAATAAAATATAAAGAACATTTTATAAAAATGTGTTAAAAATTTAAGCAAGTTTACTCTAAGGTATTTCAGATCTAAAAAAAAAAAATTGATCTCAGAATTACTCTGTCTTACACTACTGCAGTTTTCAGGGGAGCTATTTCTGAATATGAGGCTTGTCAGGAAAAAAAAAGCTAAAATACATCAATTTCTTTACGAAGTTTGACTCATTTCCACAGGACCAGAAGTTCTTCGTATTGTATAGTAAAATAAGTTAAATAAATTAAGTAATACTGCTCTAACAACGTTTCTCCATTATACTAACTTACAACTGGTCTTGCAGTTCCACAATGATATATTCCAGCTGTTCCTTCTCCATTTTATGAGCTAGATCCATATCTTCAATTCTTTGTAACAGCAGTTTATTCTGTGAGACAGATTCAGACAGCTGGTTTTCTCTGAGTCGTACCAATTCTTCAAGGTAACCCTGGAAATATAAGTGTTAGAAAGCCTTAAAGAACACACTATCAAAAAAACTTTTCATTATGTATGTTCACATTTTTCTGGTTTAAGATGTATACAGTTCTACTTTGTTTTTGTTATAGGGCTTTTCTTATTTTTGCACAGGCTAGTAAATTGACTTAAGATTAGTATGATGTTACCTAATAGGTACCAAGAAAATCATGTACTTATTTATATTCCTGAAGAGGAATAGAATAGTG